TATCTGAATAACTATCGATTAACGGTCACTAATCTCTACATATAAAACAATCATTACGTTCCACACATCAGACATTTCTATATAGTCTAATTCTTCAACAATTTGGCTTTCCTTTCTCTAATTATCCCCGTCTCTATAATCCTGAAAAGCTATCCCGGCCCGAACGACAAACCATTACCCTTTGTTCCAATTGTCGGCCCTTTTCACCTCATAGAAGCCGACTTCTCATATAAAAATGATTCTCTATCCCTACTTCCTTCTCCACCCCTTCAAAATCCGACGTATAATAGATATAAAACATTAATTTCTCACTGGCACTCTCAACACGACACACAAGATGCAATATCAATACAGCAAACAAACACATTCAGGGAGTACAAATACTTTGATTATGCCTAAAATGTTGCTTGCATTGCATAAATTCATTTTTTTCACATCCCAAAGGTATTTGTATAGTTTAAACAATGTTTATAAATCCCAGGCACTGAAGATGATATTACTAAAGATTGAAACGTTGGCGCAACAATGAAAATGTTTTTCTAAACCTACGTCATTCCTGACCGCATCTCACGATCTCCAAATAATCATTAACTAACGGTCACAAAAATCACCGCACAATTTAAAAACGTTAATAACAATTTGTGCAATTATACTTCGCCAAGTCTGTTAATATTAGGACGCTCAATCATCATCTACACGTTTTATATAGCAAAACTATAAATTAATTAAACATTAATAGGCTAATTTATACTTCATAAACTTTACTTTCGAGGCAGATTTCTGCGTTTAAGTATTTATTGCGTAGGGCCTGTATTTATTTTATTTTTTATTTACAATGTAGTAAATTTAAATATAATTTTTAAAAAATTAACATTCTGTTGGTTTTTTTTCGAGCAACTATGGAGGTTTATTTAATGAAATCACAACGAGAATGTCGTTTAATTTTGCTTTTTGAGTTAAAACATTCTCGCACAGCATCAGATGATATTAGTAAGCAGGGTGAAGAAGAAGGTGGGTAGCCTGGCAACGCAACAATCGCTCTTTATGAAAAGAGTACTTCTTTGTTTACTGTGCGATAAATTTCCAAGGAGCTTCCCCTGAAAAAAAAATATTCAAGAAAATTGTTTTAGAAACATTCTTGACAAAACAATATTTGCTGAATTAACTTCGCGGAAAGTGTTCTACAACACATTTTCAAGATTTTCTTTATTAAAAAGATGAGGTATATTTAAAACGGCCAATTCCAATTTGTTCTTGGGAAAATTTTTTATACAAATAATTGAACGCTCATAAAAACCGGAGCAACAGGTTTTTCACCTGCGGGTTATAAAATCCCTTCCTTTTTATTATTGTTTACCCTCACCCTCTTTCAGTTACAAACGATTTAAGTACTTTTGCGAAATTTTGATTCACCTTTATTTTACACATGTACACAACAACTCGTACCTTCAACCAAAAAGTAGTTTCATTTCTTATTGTATGGTGATTAGTGACCGTTAATCGATTCGCTTTTTTCACATCCTAAAGGTATTTGTATAGTTTAAACAATGTTCATAAATCCCAGGCACTGAAGATGATATTAATAAAGATTGAAACGTTGGCGCGACAATGAAAATTTTCTAAACCTACGTCATTCCTGACCGCATCTCACGATCTCCAAATATTCATTAACTAACGGTCACTAAACACCACACATTGTTTAAATTACACATTTAGTATGTTAAAATCAATTTATACAATGATGTATATCATATAGAAATTTTAGTTTAATCAGAATATTTGTACTCACTCAAAGTGTGTGTTTTCCGTGTATATGTGTCATTGTTGTGTGACGTGATTATTTGGAGATCGTGAGGTGCGGTCTGGTGTGACGTAGGTTTTAGAAAAATATTTTCCTTATCATACCAACGTTTCGATCTTCATTGAGCTCATCTTCAGGGCCTGGGATTTATAAACATTGTATGAATTAAACAAATACATGTAGGATGAGAAAAAATGAATTTATACAATGCTGGAAATTTTAGACTCAATAAAAGTATTTGAACTCACTCAAAGTGTTTGTTTTCCGTGTAGGTGTCATTCTTGTATGTCGTGTTGAGAGTGCCAATGAGATATTGCTGTTTTATGTTTTTGTACGTTGGATTTTGAAGGAGTGGGGAAGGAAGAAGGGATAGAAAGACCAGTTTTCTATGGGGAGTCGGGCCTGGTTAGTCTTTCAGGATTATATAGAAGGAGATGATTAGGGGAAGGAGAGGTAACTTCTTGAAGAATTAGACTATGTAGAACTGTATGATGTGTGAGTGTAATGATTGTTTTATATGTTGTATTATATATTTTGCGTGGTGTATGCATGGTAGTGATATTGAATTTGATTTATGATATTAGCATAGCTGCGACTGAGTATACATATCTCTGTTCTGTAATTGTTTATCTTTTTTGATGTATGCCATTTCTAAAAAATTACATTCATGTTTGTTTTGCTTTGTGTTTTTTTGGATTGTTTAAAATCGAAATTGTGTGGATTATTGAAAATGGTGGGTAACAAGTGCGAGAGGATTTTGTTTGCGTTTTTTTGCAATCATAGATGTGTGGTTTTATCCTCTTATTGCGATGTAATTCCGATGTAAGTTGCTGGACAATTTATACAATTGATTTTGTAAATTACATCAGATTTATTTACTACTGGTGTGGAATTTTTAATTTTGGAAAAAAGAGTGTGATTAGTTTTATAATTTTTGAAGGCTTAAAGAAGGTTTGAAGTATTTAATACTAACTTCGTAATAAATAGAGATATAAATATTAAGATTTCAAACAAACACATGATGCATTTAGAACTGTTTGTCAATCATTTAAATATTTTTATCGCCAGAAATTTTACAACTACAATTTCAACAACTAATATTTTCTGGTTAAAATAATTTCTATATTCTCGAGATTTAAACAAAAAAACACAATACATCAAATCCTTCACTATTGCAATTAGATTTGAAAACTCATTGGTTAGTAATCCGATTATTATTGATCAGTAATAAATCAAAAGCTTCGGAACTGTACATTTATGTTTGCTGTATAATTTAATTATGTTGTTCGGAACTAATTTTGTTCTAGGGGTGTTAATTTTACTATCAAATCCTACGCTAGGAACACGGACGGTTTACGCCGTTTTAATCATTCAGTAAAATTTTGGTTTTATGGCACAAACAACATAAAAATAAAGAATACAAATTCTATCATTAATTAAACTATTCTGTTAAAAATAGAAGAGAGAATAATTACAAATATTATATTTAGAAATTGGTTGGAATAAAGAAATAATTTTTCATTTACCTTAGCATTATAACGACGAATATCTAGATATTAATAACATAAAAAGACTAATATCTGTCCAATTTTGCAAAAATAGCTCATTTGTCAACCTCAATCTTGACCTGTCGATTTCGGACTAATTCAAACTGGCAGCTGCTTTCCACGGTGAACAACCAAATTTACGACCTACATGGCGTGTATTAAAGTGAATTTAGGTTGGATTAATGTCAACTATAAAAAATGGTCAATGTAAATTAACAGCTGGCGTAAATTTATTGCCATTTTTGTTCCTTCTTAATGAATATGCACAATGTATGCAACTTTGTTTTAGCGTTACAAAAAAAATCAAGAACGCTCACAGAAAAAAACCGGACTCTTGTATTTATTTGTTTATTTTCCATAGTAATTAAGGATTAATAGTTGATTAGTTATTTTATGTAAGGTATTGGATGAAATGAAAAGTTTGTGTCATGAGCGGGATTCGAAGTGTCACGATCGCTCAAGTGGTTAGACCAACGGCGTATTGAGCCGAAGGTCTTGGGTTCGTATCCCGCTCGTGACATTAACTTTTTCATTTCAATCAATACCTTACATAAAATAATTAATTAATTGAAAAAATTTATTTGGACAATCAGACTACGAAATATAATGGAATTAATAGTTATCTTAAAACGTAAACAAGATACATATTTTTTGCTTACAAAACTGCTTTACTTGTCCAGTCGGTTAATATTGTTATTTTATTGGTATTCTTTGGTGAAACAATAAATTTGAATAAATTTAATTTTGTTTTTAAAGCATGGTTTTAAATTGTGAAGATCTCGCCCGGGCAGATGCTTTGGCCAACGACGGGCTAGCGTTCGTTGTGTAGATTAAGTCCTGGCTGTGCCCCGCACTGTCATCTAATCTAGAGCGGTTTAGGACCACCAGGAGTCTCGGTTCAAGAGAAGGTAGTAAGTCAGGCTCTAACTGCACTACGGAACCGTCATTTAACGGCTTCCTCGGCACGTAGTCATCTCCAAACGGTTCGTAATGTAAGGGTGAGATGAAAAACAGTAATCAGGAGGCTTCTTGAGAATAGCCTAATCTTTAGACGTCCCGCATCAGTCCCCGTCTCTACTACTGGAGAAGAATCGAGTAGAAAATCTATTCGCAAAACAGCATCTAGCTTGGTCACTTGAACAGTGGTGGCTGTTCTCTTAGCAGATGAGTGCCGGTTTGGCTTGTGGCAATGAGATGACCGTGAACGTCTGAAAGGAAAACTTGGAGTGTTTCAAAGACAGTTAGTTATTGTTATTAGGTGAAATCTACGTCCATGCCCGTTCCGAATAGTGGTTATCACATTGAACGAATCTTTGATAGGAACGAAGCTAAGGTACATTGAGGAGATTTGTAAGGAATCTGTAGGCCCTTTCGCTCTATTTATTGTGAAAAAATTCGTATTAATGCATGATAACGCATGTGGCTCCAGTTGACACCAATACTTGGAGGATGAAGGGATTAGCACAATGAATTGGCCAGCACGTTCCCCTGACATAATTCCCATTGGAATCATATGGGGCATGATAAAGAGCTTGCATAATTAAAAGTGTATTTTATAATTTTATGTGCTGTTCTCTCCTGAAACTGTATTTTTTAACGTTTACTTGAGATTTGCAACAATTGTAATTAATTTTCATCATATCTGATTATAGATGTTGGACGAGTCACTAGCAGAAGCCGCCCCGTGGCAACACTCTTTGCACTGATGATTCTTCACTAGAAGAATTTCTCAAGACCACTTTCGTTCAAGCGTCTTTGAAGATTATCAGGTAGGATAAAAGTAAACAATGAGAGCATTAAGTCGGGAACACACTTACCCGATGCTACGCCATACGACAGGGTGTGCACATCTATCCGACGCAAGTACACGTCGCGTACAGTCCACAGCGTTTATCGCAATAATCATTATCACAATCGCAACGCATCTTTTGTTTTTAATGCACTATTTTTAGCAAAACCTTGTAATAAATTGTTAGTTAAATTTTATGAGCACAACCATCTAATAAATTGTTTGTTAAACTTAATTGTTTTAAGTAACCTTACTCCTAACCATTATAATTAAACAGTGTTTATAAAAACTTATAAATTTTTGATCTCGTTTAATTTGGTTTAAATTAAAATAGCATGTTGTAATTAATATAACGACAAAATTACAAGTACTTACATGAAATAAACTACAAAAAATATGAGTGTCCTGTTCTGATGCTACCCGACGAAAATGGTGTAATTTTACCAGCAAAACTATGAAATAAATTGTTAATTAAATTGTATGAGCAAAACCGTGTAATAAATTGTTCCAATTTTAGTACATATACCGCCGAAGCGAGTACAATAAATTGGTAGTTAAATTCATTATATCAAAACATCGTATATATATAAATACATATATATATAGAGTGGAAGGTTTATGGGCCGACAAACAGCTGAGGTCATCGCCGGCCCTCCGCATATATTCCTTCTCTTTCCTGTCTTTCTCGCGTATTTTGTATTGAACTGCAGCCATTTGAGCATCTCAATCTGGTAACTGACTCTCTGCTTTTACTTGAATATTACGTCGTTATTTTAAAAACCTAGCCTCTTGTTAGTACCTCAGGTTGTCAATTTAAGAATAGATAAACAACATACAATACATAACATATATATCGCCACAAACATAGAAGTCTGGTCACATTCACTCCCCCAGAGTACTCGATATTCCTCTGGGCGGGGCCGAACCCACTCCATTCGCGCTAATAATTTACTTTTGCTCCCCAGACGTCACACACTCACCCCAGAGTACTCGATATTCCTCGGGGCGGGGCCGAACCCACTCCATTCGCTCTAATAATTTACTTTTGCTCCCCAGACATCACACACTCACCCCAGAGTACTCGATATTCCTCGGGGCGGGGCCGAACCCACTCCATTCGCGTTAATAATTTACTTTTGCTCCCCAGACGTCACACACTCACCCCGGAGTACTCGATATTCCTCGGGGCGGGGTAAATAACCCCTTCCTTTCACGCAAATAAATTACGTTTATCCTAATGTATTAACATAAACACCACACAAACACTTCACGAAAAATCGTATTCCGCTGTTTTGATTAATTTTCTACCAAACCATTAAAATTAATTTTTAAAAAAATACTAATTAATTTTTAATCACTGTTAATTTGGTTTATATTAAAATAAATACGTTGTAATTAATATAACGATGATAATAATACATGTAATGTGAATAAAAGTATGAGTGTCCGGTTTTTTGTCTTCGACTGTACTCGATGCGACCTGACGAAAAAAAGGGGATTGCAGAGCGTAGTGTAGGGTTGCATAGGGTAGATGTGCGCGGGGGTAATACAACCTTATGTAAAATCGGAGTTTGGATTTGCGTCGGGTAGCGTCGCATGGCGTAGCATCGGGTAAGTGTGTTCCCGGGCTTTAACCTTTTTTTTAACTAACAAACTAGCCCTATTTGCTGGGTCATGTAAAATGACAATCATGCCATTGTTGATTGAACATAATAGGGAATATACGGATAATTTTTTTGATTCGAATTGGAATCGATTTTATCCTGACTCTCCAACGAGATTGACCTAAAATTTTAAATTTAGCCCAAAAGAAATTAATCGACTTTAAAAACAGTTTGATATGATATGAGAAATCGTCGACGCGAAACTAATCGATTAGTCGACCATTTCATAACTCGTTTAAACCTAATTAAGCAGTGTTGGAAATTGAAAATTCCGTTGGTTGGCCTGGGTTGGATTTATGAAGGGAAACCGATTAGGAACGCACCCTCGACAAACACAATTACCGGGAAGCTCCCTGATATCCGTCTCTCACAAAAACTATTATTGTCCTAGTTATCTTTGTAATAGATTTTGTCAATATCTAAGCCAAATCAAAACCAAGTGAACAAACGCATTAAAATATGCAAACGGTTACTTATTACATACATTTCGAAACTATCGACCGCTATCGCTATTATCTCATTGAAGCATTTCATTACACATAAATTGTATGTTGTTCCATCTTAGCGTTTAATTAATCTGCACTGTGGATGAGAATTATCAAGTGGCCGTTCATGTCGTTGTCGAATCAATTGATTTTGAAGAGGAAAATGGCCTCTCGGGCGTAGGACTCATCACCACCTGTTACACAAACCGAAACCGTTCATTATTTGCATGCCATTTCTGACGGTGCAATTATACATTCAACGGAATTTGGCAATAATATAACAATGTACAGGTGGTGCAGTCGATCAGTTGTTAGGCAACGAAAAACAATTAACGTACACAATACCAGGATCGGTAAAAAATATGTTTGATACTAGAAAGGATCAAAATTAAAAAATAATAATGTCTGAAAATTACTTCAAAACATCTGACTTATCCTACTTCAAAAAATGTGCCTGAAATCTATATTTTATTTTAATTAATTGTACTCTTTATTTTTGGTCCGATTGACCAATTAACTTCTTTCATTTAGTTATTCAGATATCGTGAGATGCGGTCGGGTGTGATGTAGGTTTCAGAAAAACATTTTCTTTATCTGCCAACGTTTCAATGTTTTATTGAGATCATCTTCAGGGCCTGGGATTTACAAACAATGTTTACATTAGGATGTGGAAAAGTGAATTTATACAATGCAAAATATATTTTATATTCAAACAAAGTATTTCTACTCCCTCAAAGTGTTTGTCTTCTGTGTAATTGTGCCATCCTAGCGTGTCGTGTTGAGAATGCCAGTGAGATTTTGCTGTTTTATGTTTATATATGTTTGGTTTTGAAAAAAAAGAGAGAGAAAAAAAAACAATTCACTTTTCCCCATCCTAAATGTATTTGTTAAATGTAAACATTGTTTGTAAATTCCAGGCCCTGAAGATGATCTCAATAAAAGATCGAAACGTTGGCACTATAAAGAAAATGTTTTTCTGAAACCTACATCACACCCGACCGCATCTCACGATATCTGAATAACTATCGATTAACGGTCACTAATCTCTACAAATTTCTTTAATTTAATTAATCTTTTATGTAAGGTATTGCCTGAATGAAAAAGTTAGTGACACGAGCGGGATTCGAACCCACGACCTTCGGCTAAATACGCCGCTGCTCTACCCACTTGAGCTATCGTGACTTCGATCCACTCGGACACCAACTCCCCATCTCAACCTACAACCTTTCGGATTTCCCCTCTTTTTGCCATTTTTCAAATGTCGTGCAATCAGGATTCGATTCTCGGCGACATATGAAGAGTCATTGTAATTCCTTTTACTTATTATATCCGTTATATTTAGTGTTTTTATTAGCCATTATTTTATTTTTCATTTCAACAAAAACCTCACGTAAAAAGAATTGAAAGAAGTAATTTGGTCAATTGACCACTAAATACCCGTGGCCACTTCATATGTCGCCGAGAATCGAATCCTGATTACACGACATTTGAAAAATGGCAAAAAGGGGGAAAATTCGAAAGGTTGTAGGTTGAGATGGGGAGTTGGTGTCCGAGTGGATCGAAGTCACGATAGCTCAAGTGGTTCGAACAGCGAACAGCAGCGTATTGAATCGAAGGTCGTGGATTCGAATCCTACAACCTTTCGAATTGTCCCTCCTTTTTGCCATTTTTTAAATGTCGTGTGATCAGGATTCGATTCTCGGCGACATATGAAGTGGCCACGGAGTGCTGTTAGTGAAGATATACTTCGTTGTACTTATTAAATCCATTATATTTTGTGGTCCGTTTGACCAACTATCTTCTTTCAATTAATTAATCTTTTATATAAGGTATTGGCTGAAATAAAAAAGTTAGTGTCAGGGGTGGGATTCGAACCCACAACCTTATGGCTAATACGTCGCTGCTCTCACCCCTTAAGCTATGATGACTTCGATCCTCTCGAACTCCAACTTGTAATTTCAACCTACCTTTCGAATTTTTCCCCGTTTTTGCCATATTCGGATTCGAATCCCACTCGTGACACTAACATTTTCATCTCAATCAAGTCCTTAGGTAACGAATACAATTAATTAAAGTAATGAATACGGTCTGTTATGACCTCTAAGCATATCAATATTTTGTACCTACTTTCGATTTAAAATATTTCAAATTGCCTCGTAAGCATCTCAATCAAATTGTTAACTGTTAAGCATCTAAATATTTAATAATTGAAATTTAAAATTCAGAACAGATAACAAAAACGTTGTCCCACTGACTGGGCATTAAATGTACGCACTGAACCATCTCCTCAGTAAAACCATTCATTCCTCTTCCTATCCAAACTCAAATCCTTTTCATTTTCCATCAGCACCATCCGATGGTTCCACTCCTATGGAAAGTTTTGTTACGTAGATGATACCAGTTTTTGATTACAATCTTTCGGTTGAGACTAATGTCTTGCTATTTCATGTCTTCCAAGTCTTTGAGAGGATCCGTTTGTAGAAGATAAAGGGAATCTTGAAGGTAGAGGATCAATTAATATTTTCTTCACACCCTTCCTTTTTTTGGTGATTTACCGATTTGTCTTTTTATTTTTTAAACCGTACTTAATCTTGATACAAGTACAGTGCTAAACCTTTTTTCCGCACCACCCGTCCTAGTGGTTGTGGTGATTTCAAAAATTTTTAGTGTGCCTCGACTTCTATGAAAAATCACTTTTTCCATGTTGTCCCTTGCTTTCTCACTACTGTGCCTTGCTTTAGGGTAAATCGAATTGGGTTCCAGAGGTCCGCGATTACAAGCATGCGGTTGTACTTCAGCCACAAGAGTTTTTTTTTTTCAGACACACAACT